TAGGACGAGCGGCCAGGCTCCAACGCAAGACCCACTTATTTTCGACAAAGTGCCGACACTGCACTTAAACCTGAACATGGAGGCTTCAGTTTAGAAAATAAACCAACTCATGCCCTAACGTCTTAGAAGAAATTCAGCACATGTGCCACAGGCTTGCCAGCACTAGCCTGGGCGCTAAGGACACCTTCCACCGCTATCCCCTTCCCCTAGGAATGATGCGTAGACATCACGTTCCTTGCGATGTCTTCAGAAAGCCATCCTTAAAGCCGCGCTGGCGGCTCTGCTGCGCTCTGTAGCTCACCACTGGGAGTCTGCTCGCCTCTCTGCTGTAAACTGTCTGTTCCATGTTTCGCTTCCGGTGTAGCACAGAAGGTAGCGCTTCCTAAGCTCCTAGTAGCTTCTCTTTATGAGAATAGACTGAGCGGTGCTCCAGCAGGGAAACTACGCAGACCATGAGCTGACACTGGGTGGCGCTGGAGACACGTGCACTGGGGAGGACAGCGCGTTTTCGTCTTTACTGGGTCCGCATGGATGCGTCCCGCCCCGCTCCCCCGTCTTATCACCATGACAGTCAGAAAGGCTCTTTTGGAGTAGAAACACTTTGAGTAGTGCTGTGGTGCATGTGACAGCATGACGTCGTGTCTGCAGACACTCTCCTTGTTGCCTGCTGCATTCAGGCAAACCTCAGAGATTCTCAGTACTGCCCTTTCATTCCAGACAATTTACCGAAACTTGCTCGCCTCCGAAGCGGAAGCTCTTGCAGATTTTGTTCTATTTGGCTTAACCACGTACCTTCAGCCTTCACACTTATGAAGACTCTCAGCTGTTCAGGAGCTCTCTTCTCTGTGTCCTTCACACTCCCACTTTCTGCCCATATGCCTAGAAAATAGGACAGAGTAAGAGCTACTTGTTTGTGGATGAACTGAATGACTGACTTAAAAGGATGCTTAATGCAAAATTTCAAACGCCACTGTAGCCGGATAGAAGAGAATGTAATTTCCCCCCAAACTTACCCAATTAGATTCCAGAGGTAACTGCCTGTGTCATCCCTGGGTGGGGTCGGCCTCAGGAGGCCCCACTGGCTCCCAACATCTATCTTACTTCCCATGAGAGATCACCACCAAGCTGTGCTTTGAATGTCTTATTATTTTGCAGAGTTTTGTAATGGAGAGAGCTCTGCTTCCGAGTCAGAAGTCCAGTATTTTGGTGTTGGCTAGGACTTCTAGGCAGGTCACTTTGCCAACCTAGGCTTTTGTGCCTGCTGTGGTTTTAATGTATACTGCAAACATTATGTGTTAGAAACTTAACCTACAGTGTCATATGTCACTGGTGTTTGCAGAGGAGACCCTTGGGACACAACTGGGATTAGGAAAGGTCATACGCGTGGGATCTCCAGGACGGCAATAGTGTGGCTTTGAAAGCAGAAGGGAGATGACTCGCCCTGGTATGCCTGCTGTGCCTGAGCGTGTGTTGCCCTGCACTGCACTCCCATCAGCAGGAAGGTACTCGCCAGGCGCCAGGCGGGTGCAGCACCGTGGCCTTGGACTTCTCAGCCCTCAGAACCGTGAGGCAAATGAATGTGCATTTGTAGAGAAGGTATCTGCCTTTGAGTATCTGAGTATAGCAACAGAAAACAGGAGAAAGCAGTTCCCAACTCTGCAAACTGAGGAGGTGGTGGAGAATGATTTTAGATGACATTCTTAGGTTTTTTTTTTTTTTTTTTTTGGTCCTGGGGGTCTAACTCTGGACATACATCACATATTAATTTAGTTTGTACCTTTATAAGAGCAAGTTTAGTTGAACTGAATCTTCCTTGTCCTAGTAACATTGTATAAATAGTGGCTTCACTGTACAAACGGTTGTAATGCTTCCTGATGGATAATTTTGTGATTGTATTTAAGAGCCGAATAAATCATACCAGCTTCCTGAAAATAATCATAATACATCTTTTGGAAATCAGAAATACATGCCTACCTTGCACATTTGCATTAACATGGCAAAGATTGTATGGAATACCTGTTTTTCAAAAAACAAAATAAAGGTCCAGTCATTAAAAAAAAAAGAATGATTTTAGATGGCTTTAGGGTCTGAGTGCTGCGTGAATTACAGTTCTCTATATTGCTGTCTGACATGCACGTTAGCTGACATCCCCATGCCCCCATTTCACTATCTGTGAAATGCAAATAGTAGTCGTAGCTAGTGTGTGTTTAGCCCCTAGCTCACTTTTTTGTCAAGATGACTTTCAGGTATGATTTTTTATTTTCTTATTTTTAAACTACAGGTAAAATTGTATCGACTAGCCATGAACATACATCACGTTTTGAAGTATGCCGTCATTCTAGATGGTTTAAATCTAGCCAATTAATAATGCTTCTGAGGATTTAAAAAAAATCAAGATGAGGGGCTGGGGAGATGGCTCAGTGGAATAAGCGCTTCCCTGGCAAACACAAGGGCCTAAGTTCAATCCCTGGTTCCACAAAAAAAAAA